AATCCAGGCTGGAAATTTTGAAAATAAACTTGCTCATGCCCGCAAGGTGGTTTCCAATCTGGGTAGTAAATGGCTCAGTGGAGACTTTACTTGTGGAACCATCTCTGTATAAAGACAATTAATAAACTAAATTTGCATTGTGCATGGCATCACCAGCGTCATCAGGTGAAAATGATAAATTTGGCAATAAAAAGTTCCTTGTTATGAATGCATCCACATTTGGTGATTCCTGGTTGTGTTTTTTTTTTTTTTGTATCACTTTAATCTAAAATATTTGTTTAGTACCAGAAGATTTAAGGAGATGCTGTATGTTTCTTCTGTTGCATCAAAAAATTGTAATTTTAGTATTTTAGTATTGTCATAAGATTATGAATAGTGTTGTCTGCAGATTATTCTGTTTTGTTTTATAGCCACTGATGTATTTTGAATTTAACATTGGTTTATTAAATGGAATATAAACCATTTTGGATAATTTGCAGTGAATTTTATTTTTGTGCTTATTTTTCAATTTTTTTAGATAATAGAATTCCATCATTATCTTTACTCCCACTTCTGCACAGGATATGGAAAGAGGTGATGATCGACGTGGTGACCGTAGCTTAGAGCACCGAGACCACAGGGATCACCGAGATCCCCCCAGGGACCATCGAGACCACCGTGATAGCCGTGACCACCGTGATGGCCGTGACCATAGGGATGGCCGTGACCACCGTGATCACCGAGACCACAGGGAGCACCACCGGGGGGGCATGGGTGGGGGACGTGGCCGAGGGGGGCACCACCATCATCACCGTGGCGGACGCAACTAATCACAGACTTGGCAAAGCCACAGTGTAATAACCCTGCAGAGGTGAACATTGAGGGATGTCATCTGTGGTTTAAAAAACTTGCTAGAGAACAGATTTGCTAGATGAAACTAGCAGAGTGGATGTTAAAAACAAAGCAAAAGAGAAAGCAAAAAAGTTATTAATTATTAATTGGCTTTAATATGATCATGTTTAAAATATATATTGCTGGACAATCTAATCTTACGAAGTTTTGCAGTCAGTAGACTTCAGACCATTAAGACTTTTTTTCTATTTCTTTTTTTTTTTTTGCAATGAAGTGAAGAAAATCTTACTTCATGAAGGACTGACTGATTGAGTGAGGTTTGAAAGACTTTTGAGCCTCAAAGTGTCTGCCATTTGGAAATTATGATTGAACATAATGCTATCACTTGAAAACTGATATTGCACTGCATGTGACCAAATACAGTAATAACATGTCCAGCCATGAATACTGCGCCATAATTGTGAGAAGTGTAGCAGTGCACTGAAACACTGTTTTCGTCCACTGTTCAAGTTTAGACAGGCACCTGTTAGCACTCAAACTACACCAGCCTGAGGATCAGCTTAAGTGATATCACAGAGTAAAAATAACTTCACACGATTGTCACTGTTCCTTGAGGAACACTTTGGCATTCAAGAACTGCAATGAATATGCCACTGTCATTGTTATTATTTTGTTTCTTTCACTGTTGTGGTTAGGGGAATGGAACACAATATATATATTTAATCTAATCCTCCTATAATCCTACAACCGCGGCTTGTATAGGCGAGCCGGATGACCGCCAGAGCCCACCCGGGGGACCTGAACTACCAAGCAAAAGGCGAGAGCAGCGGCCCCCATACCAGCGAAACCCACTTACCTCTCTTTTTATCTTTTTTTTTTCTCTTTCTCTCTCAACATTCATCATTTATGAATTTATGGATGTTTTCTTTTTTTCTTTTTCTTTTTTTTTCTTTTTTATTATAATCAAACTTTCTACAAGTTTGCCTGTGATTGGGTCCATGGGGGATTTCTGTGAATAAAAAATATATAAGAATAAAAATAAGTGAGCATTTCCAGTTTTTGTCAAATAACAACAGTGACATTGGAAAGTGCATTGTGGAAGGAAAGTCTGTGTGATTTTGTTGAATAAAGAAGTGGTGGTTTTGAGAAAAAAAAAATTGAGAGTTATTTTGATGAGAACTGGATGATGTTAGGGATATTCATATCATTGGCTCGGGATATTAAGAGAGTGACAAATAAGGAAAAAGATGAAATGTACTTTGGTGTTTTATTTCTTAGTGCCTGAGAGTATGGAATTGTGTAGTTAAGGTGATATTGTAAATGCTCTGAAACATTTAAAAAAATATATAAACAAAAGACAAAAAAGTTAAACTGAACCACCGTAGACTGAAGTTGGTTTGTCTCAGCAGTGCCTCAATTAAGTGAAATAATTGTAGTTGTTAGTGTTATCATATATTGCCATCTAATAATTGATATTAGGAAAAAAAACTTGATGGTTCTTTGGAATCAGTTATTCAAAAATATAATAATTTTAAAGCCCTCTTCAGACTGAACAAATGATTTAACGAAAACTAACAAAAACAAACAAACAAACAGCAGTTCTTGTGACCATGGTGTTATGAATGTGTTACATGGTTGAGATGTTTTTCAAGAAAAATTGTGATAAACG